ACGCTATAATTGAAAATGCAGGTTATGTGAAACAAATGCAAAAGGCCCTAAAAGCTACATTGTATCTTTGCTCTTCAACTGACCAAAAACCCATGCATCAGTTCTGTCCCACGGGAAAAAATTCATGATGTTTTTTGGCTGAGCGATAGCGAAGCCTATTACTCCAGTGATGATCAAGAAGTTTCGTGTCTGTCTGTGTGTGTGTGTGTGTCTGTCTGTCTGTAATCACGCTAACGCGAGAACGGTTTGAGCTACGTACCTGAAATTTTTAGCGTAGCTTTCTGGCATAAAAAGCAAGAACTGTATTGATTTTGAGCCCTCTTGCTTAAAAATTGACTTGTCAAAACAATCAAAAACGTAAACCCTAAAATATTTCTGCTAATTTTTTATTTGTTTACATCTTTCTAAGGCGTGACTCGTCAAAGTAGAGGTCGTAGGGCCAAAATTTTGTCCGTTTGGCTCTATCTCTAACCGTTTAGTCGCCAGAGGACGATATCCACACGAAAATGGCCACAAACCATTTAAATGTTGTTTCTCAGATATTTAATGGACCTCTGGTGCGGCAACTCGTTACAATAAGATCCTGGGGGTAAAATTTATGTCCTTCGGAGCCGAAGGCCTATCTACGACTCTGCCTTTTGCCCGCCTCGGGTGTCAGCGCCGCAGGCCTAGGCAGATGTATGCTAGGCGTGTCGCAGCGTAACAGTGTTTCGTGAGATATCGCGAAGCCTGTTACGCGAGACGTGGTCTGGCGTACATCGACCTAGTATAAGAAAGGACTTGCTGAGAAAAAAAAAAAAAGAAAGATTTAAAGCATGCTAATGCTAATATGGGCACAAAATTGAGTCAAAATGTTTTCAAAACATTGTTGCCAATTCACGAAAGAGTGTCATCTACTGAACTTCTTGAAAGGTGCAAACGACTTGCAACTTTTAATGCCAATGAAGCATTTCACTCCGTTGTGTGGAAAAAATGTCCCAAGACGACTTTCATTTCCAAGTCCCGTCTTGATATTGGAATGGCACAGGCTGTAGCTGAATTCAACATGGGCTTTTCACCTACTGAATCCCTGAAAGCAGTTGTGACCCATGGCACTCTAGCAGATATTTCTGAGGTAAATTT